TTCTTATAGTCCAAAGCATCACTTGGATATACTTCTAGACCACCTGACTACTTAAACCAGCCCCGTAAAGCCCCTATTCTGATGTCACAGCTACAGGATAATCTTACTTATCACATCTTTCTCTCACATTCTGGTTCTGCCATTTCTGGCCAGTGTACTCTAAATCAGTTTGGTCCCAGGAACAGACCAATACTGGTTACAAACTGGTCATCTGCCTCTACTGGTTGCCCTGACCACTCACACTGAGTGGCTATTTATAATCTTACTCTTCTAAAAGAGAATCCTGAGTTTCTAAGGATATCAACTACAAGCTTTCAATCTCAAGAGGAAAGAAATATGTATTTTTCTTTTAACACTTCTAGGTTTCAAGCCTAGAAAAGATATTCTAACTTGAAATCAAGATCCCAAACAACTGATAAGTTGAAGTAAAAAAAAAAAAAATTAAAGCCAAGTTGTGTTATAGTTTAGAAGAAGAATAATCCCATACAACTACATGGTGCTTGCTGGCTAGGTATAGGTATGGCTCACAGGAGATGGGTTTTGGGTTCTACAGAAATCAGACCTTTCCTCAAGGTTGGACAGAGGTATGTCATATGACCACAGATTAAGCTGCCAGCAAAATGCATATGGTGTATTTCAGAAAAGCTGAAAAGAATGGGGAGATTAGCAAACTGCTGAACACAAAGAAACAAGAGGAAGAAAAACCTACAAAACACTCACACAATTATTGTAAAAGCCCTACCAATTTTCTGTTTATTATATGAGAAAGATAACTACCTCCTATCCAAAAAAAAAGTACACTTTAAGACTTTTCAAAGATGTTTTTAAACAGTATCTGAGTCACTTAAATAACTTATCTAAACTGGAAACTTATATAGACTTACTAAATCTATTAGAGCATAGGATGGTTTGGCATCACTTTTCCCCTTTGTAATACGTTATTCTGTTTTGTTTTCTTCCTCATAATAGTCACCTTCTGCCAAGAATTACACTGAATGAATGTGGTGCTCAAGGGGTAAAAGTTGTTACTTGGTGATTAATAGGACAGTCACTCTGACATCTGCTTAAGGCAGTTATATTTGAAAGTTCCAAGCAAAAATGTCAAGTGAGACAGCTGAGAATTGAAGAATTAGGATTTACTCCAGGAATACAAGATGATTTAACACTAGACTACCTTAGAAAACATATTATTGTAATTCACCTCATTAACAAAACAAAGGAGAAAAACCCCATAAGATTACATAAAAACGATCAGATCATGTCACTTTTATGCTACAAAAAATCCTCATCCTTTAAAAACAAGCCAAACAGCCAGGTGTGGTAGATCGGACCTGGAATCCCAGCTGCCCAGGAGCCTGTGGTGGGAGGATTGCTTGAGTCCAGGAGTTTGAGGCTGCAGACAACTATGATTGCGTACTATACTCCAGCCTGGGCGACAGAGGGAGACTGTCTCTGAAAAAACCAACCAAACAAATAAAAACCACACATACAAAACAACAAGCCAAACAAGCACCTCTTAGCAAGATACTCGTATAATATAATAAAGGGTACATATCAAATGCCTACAATGAAATGTTAAATGCTTCCTTTTCTATTCTAGGTACAAGACTAGGATCCATCCACCATTACATGTCTATTCAACATTGCACAGTGTAAAGGGAACTGCCCAAGTCATAAAATCAGTCACTGGGTAAGTCAAGAGGACCCAGTCCAGTACTGCATATCCTTCTTATAATTTTATGCTAAGAGTACTGCTGTCTTCCTTTGGACATGAGTCTCTTAAGTATTATCATTAGAGTTCATATTTGCTAGTGGAATAATTGATATTCTGCAGTAGAGATATAATAAACTATCAGTGCATTTAGGAGGTCTGGGTTTTACTTTTTCTATGGTAATAAAAATAGGCAGAAAGATTAGCATGTTACAAGTTCACTGCAATTACAAATCAATCTCTGTGCATGTAAGACAACAGAAAAATCACAGACGTAAGTTCTGGATATATATAAAATAAATCCTATGTGGTATCATGCCCCTATCTTTACCTCAAACTCTTACCTAAAAATACCAGCTAGGGCCTTTTTCATCCTCCTGTCAGGATTTGATAACTCTAGTTAGTAGGCAATAAGATATGGAATATATGAACAATAACAGTTTGATTCTATAATTTTAATATCAGCTTGATTTTAAACAAATATTTTGTGACTTGCATTCTACAGAGAATGCAAATACTTTCCTTTTTCTTCAAATTAGTTTTAATTTATTCCAGAAGATTTTATTGTCTTTATTTAGCCAAAGCTACAAGAAAGGATAATCTCATACCTTTAAATGCTTTCATTATTAACCAAGAAAGGACAAGTTAAATGAATAAAGAATTTTACCCAAGAAACTAGGAAGAAATCAAAGAAATATATATAAAGCGGGACAAAGGAATTAAAAGATAAAAGTAAAAATAAATTAATCAGAAACATTAACAGCAGAATAGATTAATCCAACTGGTTATTTGTAATGGAATGCAGACAGACATACTCTATTCTTCTGGATAAGATTAAATATCATAATCATATCAGCACAAGCTTTTATGCATGCCCAAACATATATAAACTGAGAAAAAGTCTGAAAGGATATATAGCAAAATGTTAAGTGGTTAGATTAAAGCTAACACCTTTTTTACACTTTTCTATATTTTCTAAATCTTCTGTAATGAATATCTAATTTTTTGGTCAGGAAAAATAAGTCCTTTTTTTTTTTTTTTTTTTTTTTTTGAGTTTGGGGTCTCACTCTGTCGCCCAGGCTGGAGTGCAGTGGCACGCTTACAATCACCGCAGCCTTGACCTGCTGGGCTCAGGCGATCCTTCCACCTCAGCCTCCCAAATAGCTGGGACTACAGGCATGAGCTACCATGCCCAACTGATTTTTTGATTTATTGTAGAGATGAGGTCATGCCAAGTTGCCCAGGCTGGTCTTGAACCCCTGAGCTCAGGTAATCCTCTCGCCTTGGCCTCCCAAAGTCAAAGTGCTGGGATTACAGGCTTGAGACACTGTGCCGGGCCTAATAAGCTCTTTTTTTAAGATGCCAACTTATTTCTCATTGATACTTATATTTAATGTAAAGCCAATTAAAATTCCAAAGAGACCGATGGAAGACTTCAAGAAGGTCCACCTGGGAGATAAACTATTTTGCAAAAGAGTAGTGAGTAATCTTGAAGCAACAAAAAGTAATCTTATTCTGCAAGATATTAAAGCTTAATGCAAAGCCTAGCTAGTAACCGCTAATGAACCTACTTCCACACTTTCAATAAAAGACCTGTGAATTCGGAGCAGAGACCATGACAGGAATTCCTAACACGACCCTGCACTGAGACCATTAGATGGCTAGATGCAGAACCAGGTTGCAATGAACTAATCTTAAGACAGATGAAGCAGTAGAGAAAAATCTCCCTGGGAGCTCAAGGCATAATTTGCTTCTTGAAACAGCGACAACTCCTGAAATATGGTGGGAAGATGTTTTTAACCTTTCTCACCAGTGGACTTCTAAATCTCAGACTCAGAGTATGGAGGAAATGGGAAACAGGAAGTCATCTCTCTGCACCTTTCCAGCACTGTTCTTTGAGGTGGGCAGAATATCATACAATCACTATACATCTTGCATCATACAGCAAAATTCCAGACTGATCATTTATTTCATCTTGGGTTGGGGATGATCTTTCCAAGCAAAAAATATTTTTTAAAAAGGAAATGATGAACAGACCTGAATGACATAACAATTTAATATCAAATGTTGGCAAGGGCTCAAGGGAAACAAGCATTCTCATGTCTGCTGTCGGGAACAAACTAGCATACATTTCTGGAGGGCAATCTGGCTGAATGTGATGAAAGTCTTTAAAATGTTTATACTCTCTGACTCAGTAAGTCAACGTCTAGGAATGTTTCCTAAAGAAATAATCAGAGTGATATAAAAAAAGTATTTATAATACTGGAAGACTGGAAAGAACATAAATGTTCAATAATGCATATACATTCAATAACAAGGGACTGGTAAATATGAAATATTTATATAATAAAATATTATCTGGCCATTAAAATAATGCTTACAAGAATATTTAATGATGAGATTACACTATAAAAAAGTTAATAACATATACAGGAGAATTCTAATTTTTTAAAAAGTTTGTGAGCTATACACACATGTCTGGAAGAAAACACCAAAATAGTGGTTATGGTATTATCCCTATTTTGTTGGGAAAACTGGATGTGATTACAATTGTCTGTTACTAGCAACTAAAAGTATTCTGAGAGACCTGGCTAACTCTCACTCAATCTTCAATACTCAGCTCAGCTGCTACTTCTTCTGGGAAGTCCTCCTATACTACTCCCCCCCCCCATATTATACTAGGTGTCCCTCCTTTGCACTAGACTAGAGTTTGGGCATGGAAGCTATGATGTTCTGGTGTTTCGGGTTTTTTTTTTTTTGAAGTTGAGGTCTCACTCTGTCACCCAGAGTGACACGATCACAGCCTCACTGCAGCCTCGACCTCCTGGGCTCAGGCGATCTTTCCACCTCAGCCTCCCTAGTAGCTGGGACTACAGGTATGTGCCACCATATCCAGTTAATTTTGTGTAGAGACAAAGTCTCACTATGTTGCCCAGGCTAGTCTCAAGCAATCCTCCTGCCTCTATCTCCCAAAGTGCTGGGATTACATGCATGAGCCACCAGGCCCAGCCCGCTATAACATTCTTTATCACGGCATCATACTCTCTGATTTGATTCACCTATGTTCTCACTACACTTTGAACTGCCCGTAGTTGCCAGAAATCTGGTTGTTTCACTTTTGTATCCCTGATACCACTCTGTCTGGAATCTAACAGATCTTCAAGCTAGAATGCTGACTTCATAAAAAAAAATAGAGCAAATAAATGATTCTCTTTGCTTTGTGAATTTAAAGGTCAAAAACAGAAATATTAACAAAGATGAGCAAATATCAGTAGATATCTCTTCTTACCTTGGCTAGTAGGCTTGAAACATGTTTAATTTCGCCATTTGCTTTCAGTAATTCTTGTCTGAGCTCGGTGCAAGATAGTTCCAGTTGATCTTTCTCAGCCCGAGCTACTTTCAGCATTTCTTGAACCTCACAGTTCTCTGCTGTCTGTCCCACGGTATTACTTTCTATAGCTTTTTGCTTCTCACTCTCCAAATGAGCCTTCAAAGACCCATTCTCCATCTTCAATTCTTCCAAGGTAACTCTACATTCTTCCAAAGTTTGGGCTATCATGCTATTATTACGCCGTTCCAGTTCTAGAAACCCATTCAGTTTTTCATTTTCTTCTTTCAGACGTTTAATCATTTCTAAAGTACCTTGGTTTTCTTCTTCAACCTTCCGTAAACTACAGGTCAACTGCTGTTGAATGTTGAGCAGCTTCTCTCTTTCGAAGCGGCCCTGTTCAAGAATATCTGTGCACTTCTGCTCCAGTTCAAGGATTTTTCCTTCTTGAGTGGTGGGCTCTTCATTCTTTACACGCTCTTGCAAAAGATTGATCAGCTTTTCATTTTCTTGACTTAGCTGCTCTGCCCTCTCTCGATGCTGATGAAAAGATGTCTCTAAAATTGTCTTCTCATCCACCAGCTTCTCATTCTCAGCTGTCAATTCTTGTACCATTTGTTGCTGGTCTGATAATTCTTGTAGAGTAGCCTGCAGTTCTTCTGCGGTGCTATGGTGATTTTCTTCCATCTTTTGTATCTTCTCTGTGAGGGAAGCCAGGGACAATTCACTCACATTGTTTGGGGAACTCCCAGTGGTAGAACACTTTGAACTCTTAAAGGGGTTGCTTGTGGAGGACAGAGTCCTCGAGGGGGGATCTGCTGTAATGTGCTCAAAATCAGAGGCATCTGGTGACAAAGAAGCTTTGGTAACATCGCTACTTGAGGAACCTGACGTCCTTAAAGCATTTCCGTGTATGTTTTTTTTATATTCATCAATCTCACTCGACAACTGATTTCCAGTTGGGCTTCCAAAGCTTGACTCTTGAGTGATAGATGTTGGGCAGCTGCTCTCGCCAGTGTGACTTGCTGCCCCTTCTGAATTTGGGGATTGTTCAAGATAGGTCAGTTTCTCCTTCAAGGCCTGGTTTTCTTCCTCCAGATGAGCAAGCTCTTTCTGAAAGCTCTTGTTCTTCTCCTCAAGAGCTCTTATCAAAGGTTCTGTGTCACCTGGTGAGACTGATGCTCCATCTACATTTGGGCCCAAAGCATCAGTCCCTTCGGTGATCAGAGTCCTTTTGTCTTTGCATTTCTTTAGTTCACTTCGAAGCCTGTTAATTTCACTATCTTTTGCTTTAGCTTCCGCCAAAAGTTCCCGAACTTGGGACTCGAGCACTGCCTTTTCTCCACCTTCATTCTCTTGCTTGGGTTTTGTGGAAGTGGTCCTTAGATGCTTGGTAGGGGTGGGATTGCTGGAAGAAGTTGGGCTGGACACTGATTTCCTAGGGTTGGAGGGACCACGGGGCACAGATCTCTCTCTTGAGACTGTTACTGAAAATTCCCGTGGAGCTGGAATGCCTGTCCGTTTGGTTGCTGTAACGGCCCCTTAAAGATAGAAGAAGAGAAAAATGAAAAAGCAGCAAGCACTTTTATAAACAAAACCCAAATGACTTCAAGTCACATGGCACAGGGAACAGTGTGGCTGTTGCTCTTCATCCATTTCCTTCTCCTCTAGATAATCAGCCAGTTCTGACTGGGGTTTCTATACCCCCTTGTATAGCCCTATATGAGAAGGGAAGCCCCCATAACCTGGAATTTATTTGTTAGAAAGCATGAATTTATTCTTGCATGTTTAAACTTCATTCATCTTCAAAGTACTTTCCATGTGATGCAATATGCCTATTAAGATGCTTTTTTCACTGCTCAAAACAGTTTCTGAACTTGGCGATTTGATGCCTTTTAGTGCTTCTGCCATTTTTTGTTTCCCCTTTACACATCAGCAAAACATTTCCCTTTGAGGACTTTTTCATCCAGGGAAACAACAAAAAAAAGCCACTTGGGGTGAGACTGGGTGAATAGGGAGGATGGGGCATGGGAGTCATGCTGGTTTTGGTCAAAAACTGCTGAACACAGCATGATTTGTCATGGTGGATGAACTAGTCACCTGTTTGCCACAACTTGGACATTTCTTCCGCAAATTGTGACACAACCTTCTCAAAACTTCCAGATAAAAACTTTGGTTGGCCATTTAATCTGGAGGAACAAATTCTGAGTGTTACTACAAGAGGCTTGCCTTCTAAAAGATAATTCTAGTTTTTTGGGGGTCCCCCTCGTGCTTTGGGGGATTCTAGCCTGAGCTACTTAGAATAATCCCATCCCCAGCCACAGTTGCTAGTTCAAGGCATGGGCACACACACTTCAATTCAAGGTGTGGGCACAAACCTCAATTAAGAACAATGAGACAAAGGAAAGGTTTTCTGGGCAAGCTGTTAAACATCACTGGACAGGAGAGAGAAAGTGTGTGGGTGTGGAAATAGCTGGCAACCACCTTGTCCTCACAAGAGGAAGTAGGAATGCAGATGGCATTGTAGAAAGAAAGAAATTAAATTCTTTTTTTTTTTTGAGTTGGAGTCTGACTCTGTCACCCAGACTGGAGTGCAGTGGCCGCTCCCAGCCACTGCAGCCTCGACCTGGTGGGCTCCGGCGATCCTTCCGCCTCAGCCTTCCAAGTAGCCACAACTACAGGCATGCGCTACCACGCCTGGCTGATTTTTTTTTAATTTATTGTAGAGAGGAGGTCACACCAAGTTGCCCAGGCAGGTCTCGAACCCGCGGGCTCAGGCAATCCACTCACCTCAGCCTCCCAAAGCGCGGGATTACAGGCTGAGCCACCGAGCCCGGCTGAAATTAAATTCTTAATGGCACTGTTGAGTTGCTAAGTTAAATCAACCTGAAGTTCAGTCTATAGCTTGGTCTTTCAGTTATGCAAGCCAATAAATATCCTTCAAATAAATAAACTTGAGCTGTGTATTTCTTTAATTTGTGACTTAATACATCTGAACTTATAATGCTGGCAATGAAACAATAACCTTTTGACAAAATACAAGTTCACTTTAAATTTCTCAACAAACACCTAAAAAAAAAACTTTAACATACTTTCAGCACAAATTGGATTAATAAATCAGAAGATATAAATAATATCAAGGAGAGACTGATCTGGTCTAATGACCTCACTTTCAACATAGATATGGTCTGCTCATTTGTGTATGTAGAGAAACAAGAACAAATAAGACAAGGACATGCTATGAATAGCTATGGTACAGTTTTAAGTGTTAAAGGGATTTATATGACATGGAAATAATACAGAATTTAGAATATTTATATCGGGAAACGTAAAGTATAAAAAAAATTTTTTCTTTTCATCTATACTATAAAACACAATGTAAAAAAACTCTAGGAGCAATACCCAGACATCAATCTCCATTGTGCTCTAGAATTGAAACCCACCTCAGATGATAGAGTATAAATGAACATTTTGGACCTATTTTGCAAACTCAAAGACCATCTGATGAGTCAAGGCTGATTGCTATAACTCTCACAACTACACATTTTGCTGGATGCAGTAGCTCACGCCTGTAATCCCAGTACTTTGGGAGGTCAAGGTGAGAGGATTGCCTGGGTCCAGGGGTTTGAGATGGCCTGGGCAACTTGGCGAGACCTGGTATTTACAATAAATAAAAATGTAGCCGGCCATGGTGGTACATGCCTATAGTTCTAGCTACTTGGAAGGCTCAGGCAGAAGGATTACCTGAGCCCAGCAGGTCGAGGCTGCAGTGGCCATTAGTGTGCCACTGTACTCTAGCCTGGGTGACAGTGAGATTTCTACTCAAAAACAAACCAAAAAACCAAAAAACTACACATCTTGAATGGGAAGCTTAACAAAGCATTCCAGAAGTAGTCACCAATCTCTAGGTCTCTATAGGGTAAGAAAGGACAGGGGAAGGGAATGCTCCCCTACACTGGCAGCAGCCCTGGTGCCAAGGCAGGTTCAGAACCCAACAAACCCCATAGCTCGAAACCCACTGCTGAAACTCTGTTGAGACCTGACCAACCACAAACCTAAAAACAGCCTGGATTCTGATGATGTGAAGGCTGATGGCATTCATTGCTAAGCATCTAACTACTGAGTTCTTTTGAAACTTTAACTTAATACAGTGTAAACTGTCACAGTGCTATACAGAAAGCTATGGTTTTCAAGTGAACTTTTTCAAATTAGGTTTCTGTAAGGCTAAGAGCACTATAATTTGCTTTTATTTATGTATTTATTTATGAGTTGGAGTCTCACTCCGTTGCCCAAGTTGGAATGCAATGGCATGATCATGACTTACCACAGCCTCTATCTCTTGGAGCAGGTGATCCTTCTACCTCAGCCTCCCGAGTAGCTGGGACTACAGGTGTGTGCCACCACATCTGGCTAATTTTTTGATTTTTTTGTAGAGATGAGGTCTCGCTATATTGCCCAGACTGATCTCAAACTCCTGGGTTCAAACAACCCTCTTGCCTCAGTCTCCCAAAGTTCTAGGATTATGGGCATGAACCACCACACCTGGCCAATATAATAGACTTTAAATACAGCTTACCTTTGAGCAATGTGGGCATTATAGATGCTGACCTCCCATGCAGCAAAAAATCTGCATAAAACTTTTGACTCCCCAAAAATTTAAATTGTTGACTGGAGGCCTCACTGATAACATAAACAATTAACATATTTTATATGATCTATGTATTATATATTGTAGTCTTATAATAAAGCTAGGGAAGTGTTATTCAGAAAAACATAAGGAAGGAAAAATACATTTACAGTATTGTACTGTATTGATTGATACCATAAGTTTACATTGTCTGCAAAATGAATCATTTGTCTGAAATGGTGGCAACTGCACCTCAACCTACAGCACCTAGGCCAGCAATTCAACTCCTTGTAATGTCAGGACTCTGCTTCTTGGGGGCATTGCCAGCATCACTAGCAGCACTTTGTACGTGTCCCATGGTGTTATTCAAAGGTTACAGCATTGCACTAAACACAATGAAACATACTCGAGAGCCTCGAGAGATTACTTTTTACTGATATCATGACTTACTGTAGAGATGAACTGCTCACATAGAGATGAGTGTCACATGGCCTTTTGAGCATACACCCTCAGCACTTGAGCTCATCACAATGACAACAGGAGGTAGGTATAAAATTTTTATAGTAGTACAGTTTTGCAGCTGTGACTTAATATTGCATCTTTATGTTTGTTTACATTTCTCTCACCAGCGAATGACGCTATATAAAGTCTGTGCTTATACACATAAGTTTTGATAAATTTTAAATTTTTATAATAAATTTGTGTGTATGTGTATGTGTGTATAATTTTGGGGGAGACTGGAGTCTCACTCTGTCGCCCAGGCTGGAGTGCAGTGGCAAGCTCATGGCCACCACAGCCTCAACCTGCTGGGTTTAGGCAATCCTTCTGTCTCAGCCTTCCAAGTAGTTATAGCTACAGATGCATGCCACCACGCCTGGCTAATTTTTCTGATTTATTGTAGAGATGACGTCTCATCAAGTTGCCCAGGTTGGTCTCAAACCTCTGGGCTCAGGCAATCCTCTCACCTCAGTCATCCAAAGAGCTGGGATTACAGGCTGAGCCAACAGGCCCAGCAAATTTGTTTATCTCTTATAGTAGTAAATGATAAAAATCTATTAGTACCTACATATATTTTATGCATTCATTACATACCTAACTTTTTCTCTTTTTAAAAAATATTTCGTCCAGGCTCGGTGGCTCAGCCTGTAATCCCAGCACTTTGGGAGGCCGAGGTGAGTGGATTGCCTGAGCCCGCAGGTTCGAGACCCGCCTGGGCAACCTGGCGAGACCTCATCTCTACAACAAATCAAAAATTAGCCGGACATGGTAGGCCACACCTGTAGTCCCAGCTACTTGGAAGACTGAAGCAGAAGGATCGCCGGAGCCCAGCAGGTCGAGGCTGCGGTGGCCGGGAGCGGCCACTGCACTCCAGTCTAGGCAACAGATTGAGACTCCAACTCAAAAAAAAAAAAAAAAAAAATTTCTAGGCTACTCTATGCATTTGTGAGTTTCTGTAAACTGCTGCAAATCTCAAAAAATTTTTCCAATATATATATATTTTAAAATCTGCATATAACATCACACTGATATCCAAACTAGGTAAAAATCCAGCAAAGAAAGAGAACTACAGGCCAATATCATTGATGGACACAGATGCTAAAATTCTCAACAAGATTCTAGCAAATTGAATCCAATGACACATTTCAAAAATCATCCACCATGACCAAGTAGGCTTCATCTCTGGGATGCAGGGCTGGGTTCAACATTCACAAGACCATAAATGTAATTAAATACATAAACAGATGTAAAAACAAAAACACATGATTATTTCATTAGGTGCAGAAAAAGCTTCCAATAAAATCCAGCACCCTTTCTTGATAAAAACCCTCAAACATCTAGATGGAATATACCCCAAAATAGTAAGAGCCATGTATGAGAAACCCACAACCAACATACTGCTAAATAGACAGAAAT